CATATGCGTTCAAAATCCCTAAATCGGCGCTGCTGGAAAAAACCAACAATTTCAATTTGTTGCTTGCCTGAGGACCAGTAGTTGTTTCGGTGTTTCTAGAGTAGATATAAACCCAAGCAATTCCCAACTATGCATATTGAACCGTGCACCTCCATAGTTTCATGGCATTTCATGGCCAGCGAGAGAGCAGCTCTGCGGACGACTCTTCAAGCGTTTTGGAGCCTGGAGAACGACTCCTGGAAGATAAGAAAAAGATATCGTTTCCCGCGTCCGAAAGCGACGTTTAGAAGGGAGAGAGCAGCTCCGAGGACGACTTTTCAATCGTTTTTGGTGTGGATTGGGGTGGGTTAGATTGTGGAAAGCTGTGGCGAGGGGGATCGCTATAGGAGCAGGTTGGAAGAGGAGATATACTGCCGTCAGAAAGCGACGTTTGGCAGCGAGAGAGCAGCTGAGCAGATTGCCGGGAGCTCCTGGAGAACGGCTCCTGGAAGATAAGACTAGGAAGAAGAGAGCGTTTTGAAAGCGACCTTTGGCAGTGAGAGAGCAACTCCAAGGACGACTTTGCAGTCCTAATTGGGGTGGTCGTGCTTCAAGAGACCCATCTCGAACACGGGGCTTCCCAACTCCTATCTCGTGCTCGGCGTGGTCAAGTCACCGAAGACAATCACTTTGATCGCGCGCCCGCTCACATCGACCAATCCAAAGGAAAGGATACATCTTGCACCTGACTATGACGCAAGGTGTCCAAATCACAAACTTCTCCAAAGAGATGCATCGTCACCCCGCCGCTACGCCACTAGCCCGCTCGTCCGTCAGCACATGGAAATCATCCGCGTACAACTCTTTCGCGGGCTTGATGATGAGGCTTTCGGACCTGCCCGCACCCTACACCCCACCGCTCAGTCTACCCACGCTACCGCCCCCCACATCTATTCGGTATCATCTTCCCAACGTAACCCTTACCTGAGTGCCGTCATCGAGGCAGTCGGAGTTGCGCTCAGCTTCGTCGTCTTGCTCTGAACAAGAACAATGCCCTTGACTACCACATAGGGCTATTTGCCTTCAGCTTCGAAGCTCGAGAACGCACGTTCACATTGCTTGCTGAGAAGCGTTGCTGCATCGCCCCACGCGGTGCAAGAAAGAACCGCCTTTGAATCCCCGAGGATGAAGTTCGTTCTTACTCGGCGCCTTAAATATATATATTATATATATGGTGGTTGATCAATATTCTTTCATCCTGGAATGGCCATTCTTCGCGGAAAAAAAAGATATCTTTCGCGGATCTTTCGCGGCCTCATCGCGAAGCATGGTCCTACAACCATGTCTAGCTAGCATGAGCCGGAACATGTCATAGTATCTCAAAACTGGGGCAGACATATTGCAGCATGACCCCAGTAGAAGGTTGAACGTTCCGCAGCTACTCAGGGTCACTTGCAGCATCTGTGCGACACTTGTGCCAAATAGAATCAGGCACAACTCAACCCAATCCTCGCGCCAGCTACCAACACAGGGAGGGTGATGCAGCTTGGGGAACGTTGGGGGGCCTCAAGCTGGGAACCTGGACTTTAGCGGCACATTCGCGAAACTTTCGCGAAAGACGCGAAATTTCACTGGTGCTTTCCCGGGAAGTCGTAACATTTGCAAACATCTGCGCAGCCCGTCAGAGCAGCTGCAGGTCGTTGCCTCACTGTCAGGGCTGCGCCTACTCAGGTTGCTAGTCTGTGACAGTGGGGACAGGAATCGGAGAATCCTTTACGCACTGCCAGGGCTGGGCACAGAATGTTGAGGCTTCAGTTCGTTGGTCTGTGACATATGGGGACACTTCCGCCCACCAGCTCTGCCGGAGGATTGCCTTGTATTTCTATTCTTTGTCAGTCCGGTAGAAAGGAAACATATGAAAGCGATGGCCTTCGATAAATCTTTCGCGGAAAAACATATACTTTCGCGAACCTCATCGCGAATCTTTTGCGGATGGTTCTAACAACATCTGAAAGGCTGTTTTTTTTTAATAAAACTCCTTGCACGGGGTTTTCGATCAACTCCCATATGTCTCCTGTGTCCATGTGTCTTTTCATCAAACCGCACGAAGGTCGCGCAAAAAGAGAGAGTAAACATCGGCCTCTTCTTCAAGGGCGCCAAGCGAAAAGGCATCTGGCAGGCTTTTGGACAGACTAAAAAAGAAACGACGACCTCTCTGGGACTGGCATGTGAAACCCTACGTTGAGGTGGATGAAACGGGAGTCAATGTACGCATATATTATGAATACACCAGGTATACAGTAACCATTATATATAACATCGAACCTGGACTCTATTTTGGCCTAGCAACCACCCAAAATATTGTCTTTTCTCATCAAAACAGGGGTCCAGTGGAGTTCTACAAGCCATACATGGAGTGTTTGAGATTGTTTGGGTCCCGTTTGGGCCACGGACACGGCTCGTGGGAGAGTGCTTCAATCGGAAGCCACAAGGAAGGCCACCCTGTCAAGGAATGGGGACTAGCAACCTGACCTGTTCCTGGATCTGTTTGAGGAACCGGGAAAACATATAACATACACCATGAATGTACCGAGAGGGCAAATAAGACATCACCCCACACCAGGTTTTCCATAGGGTCCTACGGAGTCCTACGTAGCGGGTCCGATATCTCCTGACCTTGGATGGTCAGACGTTTCGGTGAGGACGTACTTCAAAAAACCATATGCGTGAGGCCTCGGACGACTTGAAACGGATCAAACAAACTCCTGGACCTGACCCTTGAACTGACTGGTTAAATGTACACTCCTGAAAACTCACATGCACCCTGAGAATGGCACCCTGAGTCCGGCTGCTTTCCTCTACAAACCAAGGGTTTTCAGATGTTTTCCAGGGTCCATGTTGGTTTTTAGCGGGGTAACAGCTTCATGACTGGGTCTGCAATCTCGGCCAGAACGAGCTTCCAGCCCGCCCAGCCCGCCGAGGGAACCCGGGTGAAACCCGGCACCCAAGTTACACATGGTTCGGCTCGGCCGGCCGGCTCAAGTGCCAAGCATGGGCGTTCCTGACGCCGTAGGTTCTGGTCATAAACAATTCGATTCATTTTGAGTCGAACAGGGGTACCGGACCAGGTGCAAGTACACCGCACCTGCTTTGTTCTATAGGGGCATGTCCCATGTTCTAAGATACTTGAAGTATCTTGAAGTCGGGTCCCAGGAATCAAGGCGTTTTGATCCACCTTCGCAGGTTCTTCCTCGCCACACCGCCTTCGTCCCAAATCCACGCCTCCAGCCAATGGCATAGATTCGTGTGCAGGTCGAAGGCAAAAAGGTGGGAAAGAAAGTGCTGCAATTGTTGGGGTCACCATGTTGGGGTGGTGTTTCAGTGCCTTTGTTGTCACCGGGAGTGGATGTTCTGGGCACCCCGGACCTTAACCTTATTACCTTAGCACCCGACTCCTTGGAACTGCTGGAACTTGGACATCTTCGGTTCTGTCTCAAAGACTTAGGTTCACCCCAAATCACTCTTGTCTATCTCGCCATCGGAGCCCTTCCTGCGGGCACCTAGATCCTGCATCCTGCAGCTCTGAAGGACCCCTTGTTTCGACTCCTTTTGGTTGCATGTTTGGTCCTGGATTGCTCCATGATCCATCCCCTGATCTGAAAACAGCGGTGGGGTGTGGCAGAGCTAACAAAAACGCCTGGGGGAGGTGGGGCTGGTGTTCTTTGGATCATGATGCCTTTTCTTCTGAAGCTTGGAGCCGAATTCGCAGCTGTTCCGGTGTTCCAACCTCTCGTTCCAGTGCGCCCTCCCTCACACGTTCGCACGTTCGCGGGCGTGAAGGAAGGCTTGGCGGCTTGGCCCTCCAGAGGAGGCACAGAGCTTGATTCATGGCAATCTCAACATCCAAAGTGGTTTGCTGACCAACTGCTCTCCACAATGTGGACCAGCACAAGTATACATTGCCAGAAGAATATACAATGGCCCTTTGATGCCCTTTTTTACATAGATCCCCGTCTCACACCTCCAGCCACTCGAAGGAGAATGAAAATCAGAAAAGACTCACAGGGTATATCTTGTGGGCAAAGCTGTCCGCTCCTTCAGCCCTGGGCAAAAAGGGAGGCAACAGCTTCTGAAGAGTTCCATGGGAGTTGGGTGACGAAGGTGGGTGACGTCTGGGTGGGCTAAGAAACGTCCGCCAGCGGAGTTGGTGTGAGACAGAAGACCAACCCCACAGACCTGTGCTGGTTCCACAGACCTGCCTGCAAAGTCAAAAGAACCAGAAACCATCCATGGTTGATCATGGTTGTTCCATTATGGCCATGTTTCGATCTCCTTTACAGAACAAGTGATTACTGTCCGCTTCTTCAGTTCTTGACCGAACTTTGGAGTCATTGTAACCTCTTACGGGCCTGTTAGACCTCAGACCCCATGGGGATCCAGTTCATCTCTGGTGGCCCGGCTCACGAACAATCACCCCGCTCCCATGGGACACGGTGGAAGATTGACCTCTTAAGGAGCTATTATTGGACACCCCGACACCGGGTGGTTGGGGTTGGTGCATTCTTCTCTGAAACCTGTGAAGAAGAATCGCGTTCCGGGACTGAACTCGATCGCCGGCGTCGGCACGAAGTAGCACTACCACAGCCCAAAGGGCCCAAACACTGCATGTATAAGGCGTATCTTGACCTATATTGCCATTGTATAGGGTACATATATGCCAGTCCCAATGGAGTGTCTGGGTAGTGGTGACTTTTTGGTGAATCCCCGTTTGGCAGACGTGTTTCGGAGTTTCCCTTGGTTGTCGGTCGAGGACAGCCAGATCCCAAGTGATAACCAAACATGCAATTCTCAACAGCTCAACTCATGGCAAATCATGGTAACTTGGTGTGCTTGATCCCATTCAAGGTCGGTATGCAAAGAGCCGTACGGTTTGTTATGCTTTGCTCAATCACCAGGTGAAACACTTGACCTCCAGTACCACCCTCCGCCCGAAAGCGCACAAAGCTCCTATGGCCACCTCTTTCGGCCGAACGTTGCGAAAAAAAGTCAACACCGCGCCAGTTCTGCTTTGCTAGCGCTTGTACTCAGCTGACCAAGACATGTCATCAGCACCCTGGCAAGTTGCGCAGATTGGCTGATTGACCATTTGCAAGCAACATATCCTCAATTGTGCATGGATCCTGCGATTTACACGGTAAGAACTTAGAACCTGGGATGGGACACCAAAGCAAATCTTGTCATTCTTCAAGTGTCTAGGATTCTTAATGATTTCGGACAGTGGTTGTACGAAGATCTGCCGGAACCAAAAGAGGAAGAACCAAAAACCGCCAAAGAAAAAGCACGATCCAAATGTCCAAAACGTTCCGATTAACCGACCTTCGTCCACTTCTAACCTTCACATTCCACGAGAGGGACCATGCGCACGGTTCGGAGAGGCCGGGGAGACCAGTTCGGAGAGGCCGGCGTGACCAGTCGCCCAGCATGGACGATCCCGAACTGTTTTACTCAGGATTCGAGTGGCCAATTGATAGGTTTTTTGTGGAAGTAGCAGTAGATGGCACGTCTGGGCCTCCAAGTTTGGCGACCCCCATTTCAAAGACATCTTGGGGGTTGTGCATTCTAGTATATGAAACCACTGTAAAAGGTGTTGACCGAAAAAATAAAAATACACATAGTAAACTGGTTGTTTTACTCAGCATTTGACTGCAACACCAGGTCAAATTCGGTCCAACGGGGTGTCGGTGAAATGGATGCCCAAAATGAAGAGTACAAGAGAGGTGTCATGGCTTTGGGAAGGAGTTGGGTCTCAAAACCCACGACCACGACCACCAATGACTGGGGGTCCGGTCCAACTATACCTGGATCTGTTACTAATTCAAACTATTGAACTGTTCACAAAGGTCAATATGTTGAAAATATTGTGAATAGTTCCTAAAAATATTGAACTATTGAACTGTTCAATATTTAACAGTTCAATAGTCAGAAAACAAACATGTTTAGCAGTTGGAAGGTCCAGGTCTCTGCTTCGCCGAAGACGACGATCCACGACGCTTCGCCAGATCCGTGACGCCGAACGCCTTCTGAGATGGCCGCAAGCGCGCGTGCACCTCCATGACCTGCACGGTCTCGCACGGGGTGCGAGGTGGAGCACGTCTTCTCGGTCCTCAAACAGAAATAGAGAGTTCATCCTGGAAATCCAAACAACCAACAAGCAGCCACTTCCTATGAAAAGGATATCAAGTGCCATATAGGAATGCCCATGTGTTTCTGGTGGTTTGGATATAAAGAATGATTTTTATATATACATATACAGTATATATTCCACAATGTTTGTAGCCAGCTTCTTCAGTTTGTGCCCTTTTTCGGAGTCCCTATAGGCGACCTTTTCCAGGCCTGTTTGTGACCTCAAGCCAGGGGATCAAGTTAGGTCAATTTAAAGAAGCAGGAGAGTACATCTCTTTGTACAAAGATTTGAAGGCATATATTCACATCGAGGGGGCACATGTCGATTTGTTTGGGGATATGTTTTTTACAGAACACCAACATGGCATAATACGGTATACCCCATGGCCTGTGCACCTGGCAGTTGTGGATTCTGGATTCTGGTGATGTGCTCAAGCCATTTCACTGAAGTGCGTCACAAGTCAGCCAGGGGCACAACAAGTGATATATTGCCATGGGTCTTTTCGTGTCTTCTTTGGACACTGAACATGACGTCATGAATGATTGGCACGGCGCTTTTTCTCGCGTTCTCAGCAGCCATGTTGTCAGCTAGGAGACCCTGAGTGAAGCCTGGTTGACCAATGGAGGCTAGAGAGCCTCACAAACAGAGTTCGATACACATGAGGAATTGGTAAAAGGAATTTACACATCAGGGATAATTTTCCATGTATCATACAATCCATTAAGGCCCCCAGCCATGTGTCTTTGAAGCAGCCAGCAAAAAAACATACTCGTTCAAAGCAAAAAGTAAAAAGTTGGTCGGCCATCTTCATGTCCATCTCTGCCCATTGTTTAGGCCTCCAGGTTCGAACTGAGCATGTTCTTCTCCAGATTGTCCAAGATCTCGGCCACCTGAGATCTCCACGGATGGTGCCTATAGGGGATGGCAGTGGACCCTTGGATGATGATCTTCCTTTGGTTTTGGTGTACTAGGGTGGTTTCCAGTTCCAGGTGAATCGGAGTGGAACCTTGTTGGTGATCAATGATCAATGCTCATCGATGTGTTCCAACCTGACCCTTTTTTGAATCTTTCCGGATCGTCTAGGATCGGATCTGTAGGATAGACTTGGAGTCCATGCTCATCCACATTCTAGCACTTCTTGTGTCTCTCGCCGTCTCCACTGGCAGGGCTCTTGTCTTTCGCTGTAGACCTTGGATAGGTCACCGTTTTTTCCTCCGATATAATGGATTGAGAGTAGATGGCACAGACCCCCAAGAGGTGGTTTATATGGACCTTGACCCCATCTGAAAGACATCTTGGGGTCTGTCCCATCTACTCTGAAACCACTGTAGCATTTTTTGGTGTTGTTCTCAGTCCACCCCCCATTCTGCCATCAGAATGTCCAGGCTCGACCCGCGCAAGGCACGACCTGCCTGGCTATGCGTCTTGTGGCAAGACACGTCCTGGCCCAAGGGAGACAAAGAAACACGCAAATAAAGAGGTAGTACAAGTTCGTTGTTATGCCGGTGAGGGATCTCAAAAGCATGCTGTTGTTGGTGGTGGGAAAACTGGGAAAATCCACTGATTTTTGTGTGAGTTGTGAGCTAACATTGATCCTTTACTAAATTTGTCTTCTTGCCATCGCCATCTCTCTGCTGAACCAGCTACCAGTTCTGCGAAATATCTCTGCGGGGTAGTATTACTGTGTTGTATCATATTCCTCTATCAGAATGAGACGTTGCCATCAGTCCAACTGCTATCGCGAGAACACGATTCAAAACTCCTACTAAAGATATGATCAACAAAATCCAAATGAAATTGCTCTACAATCCTACCAATCATAGTTTGTGTTGGTGTTGAACTGGGTTTGACAAACGCCCACAGTGCTGTCTCCCTGTGGCACAAGTGCGGTTGGCATGCCGTGATGTGCAGTGCTTGGGCAAGCCCCAGTGGCCAAGCCACAACACTGTGTCACATGCCTGGAACCACCACAACAAGGGATCTTAACATATCTTAACAGTCTTAATCCTCTTTTGGGGGCAACCTCCGCCGATATCTGGCTTTGGAAATCTTTGACACATGAACACTTGTGGCTTTGGAGCAAGTGCAGTGTTTGGGTGCACCATGCATGATCATGTGTCTCTCGATGCCTTTGCAGCCATCCAGGGTCATCGGGTTCAATGGGCATGGTGATTTCATGTGTGTGTGTGTGTGCGGGAATGGCGTGTGAGTGCCTTGAAAAACTTTAAAAACAAAAACGGACCCAAATCCGCATTGAGGCAAGGAACTGACACTGTAATTAAAGAGGATTGAGGATGTTCAACATATATAAACTATGGAAGCAAACAAGTTAATCGAATTCCATCACTCTGTTGGTTGGGTACACGCCTACCTCGTTGTTAAGTCAGGACTTGAACGAACTTGTGCACATTTGGCTGCGTCTCCAAGCACTAAGAACCCCCTACAAACCTCAAATCGAAGCCCCAAGCCATGCGCATTTGTCAGGGGTCCCCCCCCCAAAAATCGACACATTCTAAAATCTTGGCAGGGATGGTGCAATTCAATGTTCATCAATGCTCCACTTCTACAAGGCTGAAGAGCCGTGCCACGATCTGTGGCCGTTTCAGCCGTGCACGCCGTGCCCCTTTAGCCCGTCCGGCTCCAACTCCAATTTCGCCGCATAGCCCTCACCAATGTGATAGGTGGAGGCCTGGTGCCAAGTTCAATGGGTGCCAGGGCGGGAGAAGCCTCCATCCATCGGGAGAACCCTGAAAGTGGGGGGTCTCTTCCCGGATTGTCCCCGGTGTCCATTCGTGATCCCTTAGAGCCTTACTGAGCCTTGATGAACCACCCCTTGTGGGTCGTGGTTTGGGAGTCGTGGTCTGCGAGGCATGGTTTAAGCTGGTGGGTTCAACCTGGCCACCCGAGCTGCGTGGTCTGGCGTCTACGGATACGCAAGCCTTTAAAGGAGTGGTTATATAAGTTATATACAGTATATATATGTGACTATATATATATGGCTTATGTATAAGACATCTTTATATCATGCTACACAAACCTTTAAAGATTGGGTCTCCCACTTTACTTCTGCCAATCAGTGTGTGAATAGGGAGCAGCAGGGTCTGGTACTGGCGGTCACCACAACCCTCTTCCAGCCGTGCCTCCACCAAGTGAAGCCCGCTGTTCGTCAGGCGACCACTGGCAAAGTTCACCACGGCCTCCGCGTGCTCCTCCTCCGCACCTGGCGCGGTCAAGTGGGTTGGGTCCGGAGAGGCGGCAAAGGTGCGGGGATTCGAAGCTGCGCAGTGGATTATGAACTGATACTCATTGGGTCTATCATGGTCTATCCTAATACCTGGGCCCAGTGGATGATGGTGGTTGGGCTATAGGCCTTGCTCAAAAATAGTAGTAATTGCTTACTGACTGTTACAGGTAATAGAACAGACCCAAGATATTCAATATTCTTCGGTAAGGATTTGGGAAGAACTGAAAGCGTGGATCCCTGAGTGAGAGGAAGGGCGGCTCTCCTATACTCATACTTCGTTCTGGTGACATCCTATCTAGTTACAAATACTACTACTATACGAAGTCTACAAATACTACTACTACTACTACTACTACTACTACTACTACTACT